GATGAGGGTTCAGGGTTTAGGCTTTAGGGCTTAGGGTTTAGGGTTTAGGGTTTAGGGTTTAGGGTTTAGGGATTAGGGTGTAGGGTTTGGGGATTAGGGTTTAGGGATTACGGTTTAGGGTTTAGGGTTTAGGGTTTAGGGCTGAGGGATTAGGGCTTAGGGTTTAGGGCTTAGGGTTTATAGGGCTTCGGGTTTCAGGGTTTAGGGCTTAGGGCTTTAGGGATTAGGGATTAGGGTTGCAGGGATTTGGGGCTTAGGGTTTAGGGTTTTTAGGGATAACACCAGTATGATATAGCATAGTGTAGTACAGTACAATTTAACATAGTACAGTATGGTATAATCTCGTATAGTTTTGTACAGTACAGTAAAGTATAGTATAGTATAGTATAGTATAGTATAGTATAGTATAGTATAGTATAGTATAGTATAGTATACTACAGTACGGTATAGTATAGTATAGTATAGTATAGTATAGTATAGTATGGTATAGTATAGTATAGTATAGTATAGTATAGTACATTACAGTACAGTACAGTACAGTACAGTACAGTACAGTACAGTACAGTACAGTACAGTACAGTATAGTATAGTATAGTATAGTATAGTTTGGCACGGTATGGTATGGTACAGTACAGTATAGATTGCTTAGTGTAGAGTAGGAAAGGATAGGATGGTATAGCATCGTATGGCATAGCATGTACCCTAAACCTCGCAGTTCTACAGGGCTTCTGATTGATTCCATATGAAAAAGGTGTTTAGGGGCTATGACATAATAATGTTCTCCCTAAACTCTAAGGTTTTAGGGTTTAGGGCTGAGGCCGCAGCCATCAGGAACCGGAAGCCTTAAACCACACCAAACAAACGCCTGGACCTCAAACCCTAGACCCTACTTATTAAAACCCAAACCCCAAGCCCGACGAGTGTCCAACCGAACCCTAAGCCCTAAGCCACAACCCCAAATCCAAACCCTACACCCTAAACCCTAAACCCTAAACCCTAAACCCTAAACCCTAAACCCTAAACCCTAAACCCTAAACCTAAACCCCACACCCTACAAGTTCCCAAGTTTCTCGTACAAAAATCGCTTTCGTCCCTTTTAAAGCGATGCATCCGAGGCATGTCGGGAGTTGGGTAGCCACCTCGAGGCCTTTGAGAAGTTCCGCGCTGAGGCGGAGACCTTGGCCACAGCGCTCCGGCAGAGACTAAACCCTAAACCCAAGCCCTATAAGCCCTAAACCCTAAACCCTAACACCATAGACGGAGAAGGGTTGGGTTTGTTGGGGGTTTTGGGTGCCACAGCGCTCCGGCAGAGACGGAGGATGGTTGGGTTTGTTGGGTGTTTAGGGTTTAGGGCATAAGGCTGGCGAACCTAGAGGGATCTGAAGCGCTAGCAGTAGCAATAATGGGCCCAACAATGCCCGCACATATTTATGCTGATTATAGTCCAGTATATCCTCAAACCCTCTTCGATTTGTTAAGACCCCTCTATCATTAAGGCTTCAGTGACTGGGTTCGAAGGTGTCGGAACTAGGGCATCTTTTCTTACCCAGATGTACCAAAACCCGCAGTAAGAGTACTTTTAGTAGATTTCCCTACCAAGTCCATACTAGGGTTTCTAGGGTTTAAGAGTAAGAACCTACGAAAATGCGGTTCTGGTAGCTTTTGGTAGACTTTGCCACGCAGACCAGAACCAAAAGCCACAGGGGTGTCGGATGAAGTTCCGGGGGTTTTGCTTGCAGCGTTTCAATCTTTGTGAGTGTCAAGCTTTAGGGAAGGGTTTAGGGTTTAGGGTTTAGGGTTTAGGGTTTAGGGTTTAGGTGTTTAGGGGTTCAGGGGTTTAGGGGTTTAGGGTTTAGGGCTTTCATTGCGGGAGTCTGAGGCCATGGAACTGGTAGCTGACAAGATTGGGCTCTTGGCCTCACCCGGTACGGGCCCCGTTGCGCGGGCACTGGATGAGCACCCCGGGGCCCAGGACTGCTCGTTGGGGCTGAGGGTTTAGGGATTAGGGTTTAGGGTTTAGGGTTTAGGGTTTAGGGCTTAGGGTTTAGGGTTTAGGGTTTAGGGTTTAGGGCTAGGGGTTGAGGGTTTGGGGGTTTTGGGTTTAGGGCTTTGGATTTAGTTCTTTGGGTTTAGGGCATACCCCTAAACCACTGAGCCTAAAATCTTAGACCTACACCCACGATATGGGGTGTCTTCTGCGAATCTCAAGCGCCGATTCTTCATGGCCTCGAGAACCGGAAGAAATATCAAACAGGATTATGATAATGATAACAATGATCATGACTGTAATATTGACGACTGTAGGCTTACTGTAGCAGCAGCGACAACCAGCTTGCTAAAAATAGCAGGGGCGCTGCGGATGAGACTCGTAATGACCCTAAACGCCAATCCCCTAAGCCCTAAACCCCAAGCCCTAAGCCCTAAACCCTAAACCCCAAGCCCCTAAGCCCTAAACCCCAAGCCCCAAAAAACAAAACCTATATGGACCCCTAAACAATAAGCCCTAAAAACCCTAAACCCCAAGCCCCAGAGCGCTTGCAACAGGGCTAAACCCAGATCCCCAAGGCCTTGTTACAAACCCTAAACCAGAAACTCTGATCCCCTAAACCCTAAACCCTGATCCCTTGCTAGGCCTTAAACCCTACACCCAAAACTCCGATCCCCTACACCCGATTTGGGGGAACTTGAGATTCCTCAAAGGAACCCTTCTTGATTCCTTGAAGGAGCCCGCATAGGAACCCTTAAATGTAACCCGTTAAAGTAATGTAGAAGGCTAAATAAACTAGCGTTCCTTGATTATGACAAACATATTGCAAAGGAGCCCAAAACCTAACTATTCTAATCGTTAAGGCCCCCTGAACCCCAAACCCTAAACCCCTACATTAGGGAAACTGGAAAGCCCTCAACCCTAAACCCTAAACCCCTAAACCCTAAACCCTAAACCCCCTGGAGGAGCGTTTGGTCTTTCGCCTTGCGCGCCGCTTGGAGTCTTTTCGCGAGGACGGCCGCGCTTTGCAGAGCAGGCGCGGGGTAGCGTTCGACTCAGAGCTCTGACTCTCGGGCTTTAGGGTTTTAGGGTGGGGTTTAGGGTTTAGGGTTTAGGGATACTCATGAACCTCTTCCCTAAACCCTAAACCCTAAAACTTAAACCCTAAACCCTAAACCCTAAACCCCTAAACCCTAAACCCGAACCTCGACTACGAAAAGGACATCAGAGGACTCATTAGTGTCAACCATTTGGCCACACACTCTTGCCATTTTCCTGTGTTTCGATATGCAGATCGCTCCACAGACCTTGAAGCTAAAGCCGATGTGATCAGATCCGCAAGGCTTAATAAAAATCCTCCAAAGCTTCTCTGAAACCTAAAATCCTAAACCCTAAAGCCCAAACCCTAAACCCTAAACCTAAACCCTGAACCACCCCAAAGAATAAACGCCAAACTCCAAGAGCCTGATGGGTATGTAGCAGGGCTTGGCGTTGCATTCGGGAAGGGGGGGGGCGTGTTTTGCAGCCTTGTTCTCCTGGGCTTGAGACTTACATTAGGGTTTGGGATATGTACCATATTCATATTCATATGGACAGAGACAACTAACCCTAAACCCCCAAACCCGAAACCCTAAACCCTGAAATTCATCCCAGAGGTTCGAAAGGCAAACTTTGCCGGCCTTGAAGAAAAACTGCGCTGCTCTTCGACTTTGGCTGCACCGCAGGGAGGCCAATCGCCAAGTGTCGCATAACGGCTGAGGGTTTAAGGTTCAGGGTTGAGGGTTCAGGGTTTAGGGTACAGGGTTTAGGGTTAACTTTTGGGGGCTCCTGGGAAAAAGCGCTTCATCTTTTGGTTGGGTTTCTTGCAAAGCGTAAATTCCCCCCTCGCCCCCTTAAAGGGTTGAGGGTTCAGGGTTTGGGGTAAACATGGAGAGTAGGTCAGGTTTTCTGTTTTCTGTTCTGCATGTCTAAATTATCAAGCAAGACACTATGCTTTGCTGCACTGCGAGTCGCGAGCTGTTACCGATGCTACGTTAAATCCCGATTCGGCGAGTTCATAAAAAAGACTGCAAAAACATTTGCCGCTCTGTGCGAGGTCAGGCAACCTCGTTGTGCTCAGCTTGGAAGCATGAGGAGGAAATAGGTTACACAGCAGGGCAGATTAGAAGATGAAGACGCTGATGCCGAGTGTTCCTGCCGAGCGTCCGGTCTCTCGTGTGGAAAGATGCTACCTTTCTAAAGTTGAGTTGTTGAAATCACGGAAACTGAACTGGGCAAAGGAAGTCCTAAACCGAGAAATGGGAATTCTACTGGAGACTAGATACTGAGCAACCAGTAATTTTCATGTAGCAAGGCGATAAGCAGCTGCAGCTGCGATTTTCGTGGGCCGTCTGCAGCAGGACTGAAAACCCTAACGCTTTCGCTCGGAAATGAGGCAATGGCCTGAGCTGCATCATTGGGGAGACGCCTGCTTTCTGTAAGCAGTACAGTGGTGTAAAGATGCAGTCCAAACCCTAAGCCAACAAGAGCGGGATTCATCTTGAACTTGCAGTTCAAGTTTTGGGGCCTGCAAGACATCTGAGCATGTACATGTGTGCATCTTTTGTCCTCATAGCTTGAAGCACCTCTTCAGGTGGGCGTGGCCCCACAAGCCTATCGGGATGCGGCTGAGGGTCACTGAGATCGGATCATGGGGGCTTAGGGTTTAGGGGTGTAGGGTTTAGGGTTTACGGTTAGGGTTGTTTCACGGCCCAGTGTGCCCGAGACAAGTAAATCAAGGAACACACCTTGAACCGTAATACTTGAGCCTATGAAAGTACTTACATTCCTTCATTCATGAGTTTCGGCTCTCTGGGGATTTGGAGTTTGAGGGTTCAAGGGGGCTTGGGGAAGCCCTATATGCCCTAAACTCCGCACCTGCAGTTTCCTTTCATTAGGGTTGAGGGTCTGTGGATTGGGATAAGCCTTGCACCCCAAACCTCCGGTGGGAACAGAGAACAAGCTTGGCTCCGGGGTACCCCAAACCCTCTCAGCAATCCCAAACCCCGAAACCCCAACCCCTAAAACCCTCAACCCCTCAAGCCCTAAACCCTCAACCCTAAACCCTCAAACCCTGAACCATCAACCTTAAACCCTCAACCCTAAACCCTAATAACACTCAACCCTCAACCCTCAACCCCATACACCAAACCCTAAAAACCCTCAACCCTCAACCCTCAACCCCATACACCAAACCCTAAAAACCCTCAACCCTAAACCCTCAACCCCGAACCCTAAACCCTAAAAACCCTAAACCCTCAACCCCGAACCCTAAACCCTTTGTCCTGTGTGTGCTTTTTGTTTGTCGGGAGGCCCGGGGGCCTCGGAAGACTCAAGCTTTGAAGGGTTTAGGGTTTAGGGTTTAGGGTTTAAGGTTTAGGGTTTAGGGTTGTTCGGTCTAACCCTAACCCTCCAGGTACCTACTATATAGGGCATTAGAGCCCCTGGGGCCCTATATAGTAGGCACCTGGGGGGGGGGGGTAGGGTAAGTTGAAGTAGTTCGCTAAATTAGGGTCCCTTTTAGGGTTCTTTTTGTAAGGGTGTCGTACTATTTTGGGGGGCCTAAAAGGGGACCCTAATTTAGAGAACTACCCATCTAGGAATCTTAACCCATCTAGGAATCTTCGCGGGATCCCTTGGTTCGGGTCAAGTTTGGGGTTTGGGGTGAACCCTACCCATAGGCCCCATAGTAGTACCATTTTGGGGTTCATATTTAGAATCCTCTAAGGCAATCCCAAAAAGGAACTACTATGGGGCCTATGGGTAACCCCAAAAGTCGCTAAGAAGAGGTGGAGACATGTTATCGGTGACTTGTGGCGAACTTTGGCCGAACCCATAGACATCCGAAGACATCCCACGCGACCCTTAAAACCCTGCGCAACGGGAGCATTCTGCATCCTACAAGCATCTGTTTCCTCTGAGCTGAGCAGATCGTTGAGTAGTGTATACTTGTGTACTGCAGTTGCTTCTGCATCGATCATGATATGTTTATTGCTGCCGAGATGCGGCCCTAAGCCCTAAACGCTAAACCCCTAAACCTGCAGCCCTGCACTCTTCTTTTGAATTAAAGGGTTTGAGTTTGTGAGGCGAAACAAGTGCCGGGAGCGTGCGCGGCGCCGTCGCAGCTGCGGACCACATCCTCGACCGTTTGGCCCATGTGACGAAAGAGGCGCGGGGAGACCTGAAATCCTGTGCCCAACACTTAAAGCCGTAAAGGCTATTGATGCCCTTTTGGGTTTAGGGTTTCCAACTGTTCCGGGTTTCAGGGTTGTGACTTTGCGGGTTTTGAGATGTTCAGTTATGGGAATATATACTAGTAGCTTGTTCTGGTGCCAGTAAGATTTAGTATTTAGGGTTGTTAAACCCTAAACCCTAAACCCTTTCAGGGCGTTAGGTTTTTGTTCGGGTTTAGGGTGTTTTAGGGGCGCCTCTGAGCGCTAGGAGGATGGGACGTGCGGTCTTAAACCCTAAACTCCAGACCAACCCTAAACCCTAAACCCAAAACCGGAGCCCTAAACCCCTAAACCCAAAGTCCTAAACCCCAAAACCGGAGCCCGAAGCCCTAAACCCCTGAACCCAAACCCCCAGACCCAAAGTCCTAAACCCCAAAACCGGAGCCCTAAGCCCTAAACCCCTGAACCCCAAACCGGAGTTTTAAACCCTAAGCCCTAAACCCCCTGTGAACTGTTTAGGGGCCTGACAGGTCGCCGCGTGGGATCAGGCCCTCCGGACGCTGCGATATTTGCCAAGGAGTCAAGAAGGTGTCTAGGTTTGGACGTGTAGTTTGGGCGGGTTTCGAGCGGGTTTTGGCCGAGTTTTGCTTTTGCTTTGCTCTGCCCTGCTCCCTGGCCCCCCTCCCCCCTTCACCCCCTCCGCCCGCCTGCCCTTTGTGCCTTGCTGCTTTTCTCAGCCCACTGTCCTGCCCCTCCCCCCTGCTGCCCGCTCCGCACACCTGGACTGTTCAGCCATGCTGCCCTGCCTAAACCCTAAACCCTAAACCCTAAACCCTAAACCCTGCCCTATCTTATTGCGGCCAAGCCGACCAAAAGCTTCTGTGAATTGAATGGCTTAATTCTGCCAGCGGAAACCCCAAAAGCCAGCCGCTTAACCCACACCTTCTACCTTATAATTTGCTTCAGGGTTTATGGTTTAGGGGTTTGGGTTTAGGGGTTTTTAGGGTTCGAGGTATACGGCTTAGGGTTTTAGGGTTTAGAGGTTAGGGTTCAGGGTTTAGGCTCTAGCTGTGTGCCAAACACCTACTGCTTTCCGGAAGCATTTAGAAACCATAAGAAGGAACCCGAAAAAAAGGAAGGGTTTTTGTCGGCAGCAGGTAAGCCCTGATCTTTAAACCCAAGTCATGAAGGTGGAAAAGGTGGGTCTGTGGACTGTTTTCCTAGAGTCCGAAGCATCGAGAACAGTTGACGAACCCTAAACCCTAAACCCTAAACCCCTAAACCTAAACCCTAAACCCTATACCCTAAACCGTGACGGTATGCAAGCCCAGAATTTGGAAGTTTGTCATGGTCATGGCCAAGTTCTGCCCTTAACCCGTAGCCCCCTTAGCCCTAAACCCCCTTAACGCTAAACCCGAAACCCTAAACTCTGAGCCCTCAAGAATGAAACAACGAGAAACTTATGTAATGGAAATTGTGCGTCTTGGTGTACTTGAAAGCAAAGTGCGACAAGCAGCACCCCAGCCAGCAGCCCCAGCCCCCAGCCCCAGCTTCAGCCCGCCCCTCAGCCCAGCCCCAAATTCGAAATCGTCATGGTTGGAGTAGGAAACGTTTCAGTCAAAGCTTCAGCACCCAAACCCGTGACAGTTATCTAGGCAGGATTCAGCACAAACCGGAAACCTTGCGCACTCCGTGGTTGTGAATCTCTGTATGCTAGGTATTTGAGACAAAACGAGGGGTCCCGTCATAATGTTGTTCTACCCCCCCCCCCCCCCCAACAACAACACAGCCCGTGTAGTGTACAGGGTTCTGACGGTAGGTAGAAGGTTAGAGTGCTTAACGGGCTTTCTTTGGGGCTTTAGAAGGGATTTGAAGGGGGGGTTGGAAGGTTGTTCAAAGGGTTTCATGGCTTTTGACCGGTTTCAATGGGTGTTACAAGGGTTTCAATAGGTTTTAGATGGGAGTGTTATGGGTGTTAGCAAGGTTTTCTGAAGTTGACAAGTGTGATACTCTTGCTCCAGTTTTTGTCTCTGACAAAGTCCAGATTTCAACGAGGCCTTTGTCTCTACAGACAAGAAACGGAGCCCCGTCTGTTTCGATCCGACCCCCCCCCTGCCTGACAACACACCCACACCCTCGTTCTTTTTTCGGTCATAAGAGCAGCGGATATGTATTCCCAGTACCCTCATGTTTAAAAACGGCGACTGTGTTAAATGCTTCCATCGTTTGAACGACTTTGGTTCATTTGCCAGATACTCATGCTGTGGGGATCTCATTGCTGCCGGTGACAACTACCTTGGTGTAGAGCAGAACTTGAAGGAGTTTTATTCAGACCATCTGTGCGTTGACTACCGACATCTAAACGATCGTTTTCGACTTCAGCCGCAACGCTGCGCTGTGTACAGTTGCCGATGCTTGTACATAGACTTGCGTCACATGCTTGTGCTCACTGAAGCACCGTATTTTCTGTGCAGGTCTTTCCTTTTTCGCCTCAACCGACCCAGACTTCGGTCCGTAAAGCAGCAGCAACAAGAACGACAACAGCAGCACCAACGCCAACACAAAGTGATTAAACAAGAGCGATCACACCGCCCCTACCTAAACCCTCATCCCCAAAACCCCGAACCCTCAACCCCAAAACCCAAACCCGAAGCCTGAACCCCCAAACCACAAAACCCTAAACCCCAAGCCCTACAGAGGAGTTCCTTGAAGCTTCCAGCAGCACCGGCAAACGTCAAGGCGGACTCCAGCACTGAGGCAGGCTTAGGGCATTGGTGATGGTGTGTGTTTTCGGGCTCAGGGTTTAGGATCCAGTAGGGATGCCAGTAGATCTGTTTTCCGTCGGGCATTCCAGCTGAGATAATGCACTTGGGGGTAGTAGTCGTCGTATTTAGTAGAGGTTTCAGGTTACAGGGCTGGTGTGGACGTTCAGTGTCGGGCTGTGCTGCTTGGAATAATAATTAGCAATATGAATTTCCAGGGAGTCTTTGAAATATTTCTAGCATACTATAGAAAACCCTCTACTGATTATTCAGCCCTCTTTTTTACCTGTCCTGCCAGGTGAATATCTGGGTTTAATGAGCGCTTCTGAACAGACCATCCAAACCATGAGCACGCTTTTGGGATCCTTCATTCCCTACATACATATGCGTGCATATAGCTGCATATACACATATGTGAAACATCAGTATGATGGTATACAACATATAGGAACAAACTCAGGGATAGATGTATTTGCAAGTAGTCTATGTTGTCAAGTCGTGATTACACCTACGTGTGTATGGGCACATTGATGTTTCGGTTTGTGTTTTATTCCAACCAATGAAGCCGTGGCCCCTGCACCCTAAACAGACACGGCAACCCGGGACCGAGGAAAGTGCACAGCTGCTGCTGAAGGTCTGCGCCAAACGGAGTGTGGAATAGCACGGATTGAAAGAACAGAACCTTAAGGAGGGTGCGAGGCTTCAGAGTTAAGCTTTAAAGTCGTGAACCCTGGTCCCAACTTTCGCGAAAATTATTCTTGCTAGCATCTACTGATTGAAACATCTATATTTTCTATCTCAATCTTGAATTTAGATTTAAATAATATTGAGATTAAGGATTTTAGATTCTTTTTATTTGATTAGAATCGATATATATATATATATAAATTCAGATTTCGATCTATTTATATATATATATATATTAGATTCGAATCTTTATCTATTTAGCAATTATATTTCATTTAGATATCTCATATGAAATAAAAGATTTTATAATTTTGAAATAGATAGATCTACTATTCTATATCGATATTTTTTATATGGAAATTTCCGAAAATAGAAGACCTTAATATAGCCTCTTTAATAATAAATTTATTATTATAAGGACCCCAAAATAAGGCGCTTCTAATTATATGAAGTCTCTCATATTTTATAAATTCGATTATTTTTTATACTTAATTTAATTCTGATATATTCTTTCGAAATATTTTTTCATAATTTTTAATGATATTTTTCATTTTATTATACTATCTTAATTTATCTATAAATTATTTTCATATAATATATTGATATATTATTAATTATATCATATTCTTATATATATATATGAGCATCGGACTAAAACTCCGGAAGAAGAAATTAGTTGTAAAGTGGCCACGAAATTGTGTAAAAATAGGTTTTATATAAAAATTGATAGGGGACCGACTTATATTTGATTAGCTGATCCCTGCATAACCGATAGGGGTAAGTCTTCTGGCATATTCTAGTTGATCTCTGTATAACCTATAGGGACCGACCTGAATTCTCGCGGGTTTTTCGTCGATTTATAGGTTTAATCAACCGCTCGTATATTGATGATGATTTCTTCTTATTGAAATTTCTATTCAAATTCTAATATTAATTCATATATTTTATTCAAAAAGAAATATCATATAAAGATCTCAATTTCAAATTCAGATTTTCTATCGATAATAGAAAATGAATTAGCAAAATTAAAAGACGAGATATATTTTTTATATAGATTATTATTTAATTTGAAATAAATAAATTATAAAAATTATAATTATATTATATTATCTAATATATTTTCAATAAATATATATAAAGATTTTCATCATATATTTCAATATTTAAAATTGATTTTCTATTAGAATAAATATATATATTTTGGAATTAATATATTTTCGGATTTTCGAAATTAAATTTTTCATTATATAAGAAGTTAAATATATTATATGAATAATAAAGAATATTGATAAAGAAAATATTTCTTTCTTAGATTTATAATAACATTATTTCTTATATTAGATATATCGGAATAGAAAATTCAATGATTCTATAATCGAAATTAATATATTAAAACAATTTTTTAATATATTTGGAAGAAATTGATTATTTATAATAGAAATTTTTTTAAAAAAATAATTATTCATATATATTGAATAATACCTATTAATTAAAAAGATAATTAGACAAATTTAAATTTCTGCAAACAATTCAATAATTATTTATCTATAAATTTGAAAATCGATATAGATTAATATCTCATATTATCGCGACGTCGCATCCCCCCCCTCTATTTCAATTCCCTCAAATTTTTGTCGTGCGATAATACCACATGGCGGACCTTATTGGCCTTGTCGCGCTAATCTTATCATAAAAAAATCGAATTTTATCGCGCAAGGCGCATCCCGGCCATATTATAAATAGAAAATTGCTTCGCTCCCAAATTTGATTATTTAATTGGAGTCGGGAATTAAATAATTCAAATAATTCAATTAAGATCTTATTGGAGCGATTTTATAAGAAATTTTTCTTTTTAAATTATAGATAAATTATTTCGATTAATATAAGAGAATTTCTTTTTATCTGGTAATCTGTCAAAATCTTTAATATAGAAAATTAATGCATTTCTTTATAAAGGTCTTCGCAAAATATTTAGATTGACTTCTATATATATTGATTATAAGAATACCAATACGAAGAATACGAAGTCATTCGAGAAGGCCACTGCAATTGCAGGCAGAGAAATCATCCCGTTCAGCAATATACTGGATCAAAGGTGAATGAAACTTGCTGGGCATGCATTATATTCTAATTCGACAGATCTAATAAGATAGATATCCTATCAATCTGATGGCGCAAATCCTTTCTTAATTAGAACCCATAGAATAGGCCGCCCCAATGGTTATACAACACCAAAGCCCTCATATATACGGCGTTAATAGAAAATGATAACTATATGGGGTCTGAAACTCAAATAGCTAGGATTTTACAGGATTTTGCAGACGGCAAGAGACAGAATCATTTGACATATCATATCGCTGCATATTTTCTTTCCAGTCTAGCGTCGAAGCGCTCATTGAACAGGAAAGGAGCTGCTTTGAATTTGGAATGCAAGGCTTTTGAAAATCAGAATAAATATAAATTATAATATTTTCGATCATACTTCAATTGTATGATATTTATCAAAATATAGATTTCTGATATAAGAAGATTTTTTTTTCTATTCCTTAATCTTTTTATATTTCGGAATATGATTATTATTGATAAATAATTAGGTAATCAAAATAAAAAGGATAAAAATTGAAAAATCACAATAATTATTCTAGAAAAAATTCTAATTAATTATTTGCAGATCTATTTTTATATAAAATTGAAATATTATGATTCTAAAAATTTTCTCAATTCTCAATATAATTCTCAAAATCAAGGTTATCCCTATAATTTCTTCAGCTAGAAAAGAAATTCGATAATTATTAGATTTATC